TTTTGAACCACCGCAAAAATTCAGGATTGCTTGCGATTCCAAGGAAACTTTTCCTATCAGTAGATGAAAGTGTTCACTGGACCCTATGCAACTTTCACGTTTGTGCCTATCCCAGCTAGAAAGTTACGAATTTTTCACATAAAGCGCGCCTTTGGAAGGAAGCATTAATTTTGTAGCCCCATTGGGGACATTTCAGCCTCAAATATCTGCAGGTTTCAGAAAAAATGTAAAACTTTTAAGCCGATTAGACTTGACACAACAGGCAGCAGGTAAAGCAAGATTGATTTTCGCCCCGGCAAACTTTTGCGCCACTGGATCTGAAAGTCACAAATCCCAACTTTGTTGGGCTGCGATTATTCAACTTTGGCAACGTTATTAAAACTTGACACTGGCAAACAAAGCGCCACTCTGATTGGCTGATTTCTGCAACAATGAAACTTCATATCTGAACAAACCGGTTTCAGTTTGTTGAAAGGAATTATTTCCGTTTGTGTTGCCCAATAAATTGCTGGGGATTTTTAAAAGTGTCTCAAACTGTTGAAAGTCTGGATGGAAAGTCACTCCAGAGGGCGCAGACCGTAAAGATCCAGAATCGGCCGAACTGATGGGAGCAGTGCATAAAATTCCGGGACTTAATGGATTCCCTTTTGAAGGATCTTCAGCGAATGTAAACGAGGAAATTTAAGCGCAATTCTCCGCGTGTATTTATTTTAGCTTCCAACTTGGAAAAATGCGCTCGGCTCGAGCAATTTGGTCTAAATTTGCGTTAATTTCCCCATTACAGTGGTCCGAATTCCTTGTCCAGCTTGATTGGGAAAGTCGCTCGCCTCAACAATCCTGGAAGAAAAGCTCTACTTCCGCCTTTCCCACTTTTGCCAAGCAAAGGAAATGATCCAGGCCCCAACAAAGGGGCAGTTTACATGAAAAATTCCCCGGAATATTATTAAAACTTGCCAAAGGTAATCGAATGAAAGCGTTTTTTAACGTTTTCCTCGTGAAAACGGCGAATTTCGCCATTAATTTATCACTTAGCAGGGCCAAGAAGCGACCAGGCAATACATCAAACAGGGAATTTATCTCGAGTTGGGCTTGATTTTTCAAATTTAACTTTTAAAACTGATGTGTCACGGGGGGATTTCGGTCCCTTGTCCCGCTAAGTTGACCCAAATCCCGCTTCAAATGCCCGGATTTATGTCTTTTACATCGGCTTACTTATGGAAACATACAACTTTCTAATGGACAGGCCTGTGATCATGTTCGAAATGTGAAACAGGCCAGAACATGCATGCAGGATCGCCAACAAGCTGGAGAATGATTAGCGATAATTAAGGTTTGTCATTTGAAGCACTCTGTATAACGCAGGCAGGAAGTGTTATCTAGTGGGCCTTGTGCCTTGTCTCTCCTGAAAGTTTCGAATTTACGACTCCTTCAGATACTTTTTCATGGAGCTCCAAACTTAAGCCGTTATATTGACGATAACGACATTCGCCAACCGTTTGAAAAAATGAAGTTTTCGATAAAACTAACAGCGTTAAGCATCGATTCTTTTCAACTTCAATTAGCATCAGAATCAGTTAATCTTTTGTGAGAGTTTCGGGTTAATGGCACCTTCAGGCATTTCTAAATGAATTTGCAAACTTCAACATTTATGGGCCACATTGAGCTTCTGCAGTCCTTTAAAAAAATTGATTTTTTAAGCTAAGCAGGTGCCGAAGTTGCCAGTTTTTGCGTTTATAGTGCAAACGCCTCCCGATGTGCTCTGAAAGTTTCGAATTTCTAGCTCCTTCAGGGACTTTTGTATGGGTTTCCAAACTTATGCGGTTATAGGGAACGACAACTGTCTGCCATAAGTCTGAAAATATTGCTTGCCCTCAAACCACAACAGATGGAAATTGGCTAAATTTCGCACTAAAAAGCGCAAAACTAATTTAAAGTATTTTGGACTTTTGGAACCGATGATGATCAAAAGTTTTTTTTAATTGAATGGTAAACTTGGACGTTCTTAAACATCAGGTTTAAGTAATCGATCAAAAAGATTGAATTTTTGGAAAACCGAACGGGCCAGATCGATGCTGAGTTTTTCGTCAAATAGTGAAAAGCCATCTCAATGTGTCTTGAAAGTTTCGGATTCACAGCTGCTTGAGGGACTTTTCCAAAAATTTTCAAACTTGTGCTGCTTTAGATAACAACGACTTTGTGCCACCATTCAGGAAGGTGTAATTTTCTCTCATGCCTGGAGGCAGAAAAGTGACAAATTTTGGCGTTGATTAGCTCAAGATCTACTTAACGTTTTGCGTAACTTTTGAACTTATAACGCGTTCAAAGATTTTTTAATAACTTCAAACTTCAGCCTGTTTAGGCGACATCAATTTCCTGCTTTCGCTCTTAAAAATGCCGAGTTTTCTGAAACCAAAGCGAAAAAAATATTGTGTATTTCTTCTCAAATAGCTTGAAGTTCACCTAATGACTTCTGAAAGTTTCGCATTGATGACTATTTCAGGAATTTTTTGATGAATTGTCAAATTTTAGTATTTATTGGCAACATCGATTATCTGCAGGCATAAAAAAACGTTTATGGCAAACGAAAAGAGCTCAAAGGCGGTTGATTGTAGCATTATTTAGCACAAAACTCATTTCATGGGGCGCAAATGTTTCGAGTCGAAGGCCACATCAGAGATTTATAAAAAAATTAAAACATGCCTTTATGAACGATCGTGGATTTTAGCAACTATTTCGAAAAATGTTTTTTTTACCCTAGCACTGAAACCGATACAAATCGAAAAATTTTATCACTAAAAAGCGAAAAGCATTTCTAATGTTTTTGGAGAGTTTCGGACCAATGACACCTTCAGGCACTTTTAAATTAATTTAAGCTCCGAAAGCCACACAGCCTTTTATTTTGTTATGAAGGGTCACAGCGGTAACCATGCCGCCAGGCAAACCTGTCAGGGTTATAGCGCGAATGGGGTTAATTTTTGAAGTGCGCTCTTCAAAACTTTTGCGGCTCTCGCCCGAAAAGGTCGGACCGTTGGCCATTTTTGGTAACTATTAAGTTTTGGGGGGCGCTATTGATATTGCTGGTAGTCTTTTCCAGTGCGCATAAATTAAATTAATTGAAAAACATGCAACAAAGCTAAATTTCCATTAATTACACCCGGCAGGATCTCGTTTAATTAACATCCTTTAGAAGGAACTCTTAGAAGTTGCTTTGGCATCCAGCCCTTGGATGGTTAACCTAAGACCCTAATATTAATCTATTATAATAAATATGAGGGACCCTTTTCACCGACCGTAGGTGGCGATGTCAGTGCATATAATAAACAACAAACGGGAGGGTCAGCGTTTCGAATACGAGCCCTAAAATATGGCAGTTTTAGTGGAAATATCCTGTTATTGCACGTGAAAATTTGCCCTAGAAACCCTTTCAGGCCCGGTTCCACACAAGTTTAACAGTTTAAGGGTTGGAACCAGCTGAATGGAAGAACCTTCCAGAAGTCGAGATTGTTCGATATGTACGTTCGCATGTTTTCCATCTTCAGGTCTGGAAATCGGTTTATTAGCACGTGGAAAAACTCACTTTTAAAACATTCAGCATCCCTTTTAAAAGCGGGCGCGTTGAAAGAAAAAGAGGCTGGGAAAAGCGCACACGACGGCCTGTCTTTGGGAGATTATTGCGGCTTTCAAAGGAAATTGCCCAGTGAATGGAGCGCTCGTGTGGATTATGCCTGGAGATGTGGGAGAGAATTAGGACTAATTTGCCCACATAAAAGAAACCGGTTTTGATGGCTTTGTTCATCCCGGATGAGTCAAAATTGGTGTCATTTCTCTGAAGGGTACGCAAAAAGCGGCTGATTTGAATTTGAAACAGTTTTTGGTCTAAGTGTTGTTGCTTTGTTAAATCAGCGGATTTAGGAATGGATTAATAGTCCATTTTTCGTTAAAAAGTCATCGTTTGACCCTTTCGCGTTTCGAAGCTGAAAAAAGGTTTGAAGAATGCAGTTTAAAAACTAACCACAAATGCGCCATTTTGACAAGATTGACAACTAAAAGCTTTGCAGATGCATGGTTGCCGTTGTTTCCTTCCGGAAAAAATTCAGAGAATCGTAATACTTCCAAATGCTTAATGGCAACGTGGAAATTGCCTGTATAAATCGCTACTATATTACTAGGATAAACATAGTAACGCGAACAGAGATAATGTCAAGTGGTTGTCAACAACAGCCTATTGAATTTGGGGAGCTGATAGCGGAAATCCCCATTTCCATCCGGTTAATATCGTCTCGTTCTACCACTGTTTAATATATCGGGGCAAACATGTGCGGGTTAAACCCGCGACTTTTGAATTTCCACTTATTTCTCGCTGCATGCGCTCCATGTTTATCCATTAATGGCTCAAACTGTTCCATTTATATCAGGAAAACTCATCTCCTTGGCACGTTGCGACAGGCTTTATTGCGGCAAAAGGGAAACAGAGATCAATCGTTTTATATGGACGGCTGAATTGAAAGTATGTTTTCTCTCAATCCTTTCGGAAAAGGAAATGGCATTTCCATTTTGTTTGTCTGCATGCCACATTAAGGAGAGGGCAAATAGCAACGTGCCCTCGACGTGTGCTGAAAGTTTCGAATTGATTACTTCTTCAGGGATTTTATCAGTTGCCAAACGCCTTCTTCATTGAAATCGATCGAAAAAGCCAAGAGCAAAATTAAAACTAATAGATCGTCGGAAACACTCTGTATATGATCAATCTATCGATAGAAATAAAAAAAGTAAATGATAAACACGGATCGTTGCCTACGCCTCCATACTGTTTTCGGTTGCCAGGTCACTTATTGACGGTCCTTTTGGCATGCTGACGTTGAACGTCAGTTTGACTTGAAGCGTCAAGAGTGAATTTTAAAATGTCCGCACAAAATCGTTCTTGTCTATAATAAATAATTATATTATTTACGCATTTCCTACTGGGTTTGCCCTCCACGGCCATATTGTTTGTCGTCTGCCAAGTCGTTTATTCAATGTCCTTTTGGCAATTTGACGTGAAACGTCAGTTTGACTTGAAACATGAACAGTGAATCTCGAGCAAGTGTTTCAGTGTAGAAAATTCGTGTTTTCTTAGTGCAGTGAGCATCTAGACCTCGAAAGTCTCACTATTTGGATCGGTGAGTGTCTTTTTAACATGCGGCTGTTTACATTAACCCCCAGAAGAGTTTAACGGGCCAAAACTGAACCGAATCCTAGTGGTAGGATCCTACAGAAACAGGCTTTTTAGAGTTGAAAGCAGAAAATCGAAGCCACATAAGCAGGTTGAAGTTTGGAAATTCATTAAAAACTATTCGAAAGCGTCATCAGTTTGAAGCACTCACAACACGTTAACTAGGTTTTGTGCTAATTAATGCCGAAATCCGSCACTTTTCCGCCCTYAGGTTTAAGAGAAAAGGCAACTTTTTAAAATGTCCGCACAAAATCGTTCTTGTCTATAATAAATAATKATRTTATTTGCGAATTTCCTACGGGGTTTGCCCTCCACGGCCATATTGTTTGTCGTTTGCCAAGTCGTTTATTCAATGTCCTTTTGGCAATTTGACGTGAAACGTCAGTTTGACTTGAAACATGAACAGTGAATCTCGGGCAAGTGTTTCAGTGTAGAAAATTCGTGTTTTCTTAGTGCAGTGAGCATCTAGACCTCAAAGATCGCACTATTTGTATTGGTGAGTGTCTTTTTAACACATTATTAATTACGTTTACATTTAAATTTAAAATTTTTGCATAAGAATCGATGTTTGGCCGAACCTAATCCTAATGGCCAAATCCTTTCAGAATTTGGCCTTCGATATGCAAGGAAAGCGAGTTTTTTTATAGTTAAAAACACATGTAAAGCCCGCAGTGTAATTCCTCTTCGCCGTCGTAGGCCCCTCAAAAAATTTCCACACATTTTTATAATTCGCAAAGTTACGACACCCAACTTGCCAAAACTGCATTTTAACAGCCTGCTATTATACCCAGCTTTGCGCTGGCCACTCTCTAGCAACCCCAAAATCGGTTTGTTGTTGTCAACAAACCTGCGTAAAACCCGTCCAGGACAGTGTAAATCGCTTACCTGTGCAACAATGGATGTGTAGGCGCGCAACAAATGCGATCAAACAAGTAGTTCAAACGCTGTGGATGAAAAACAACGTGAAATGAACGATATGAGCAGCGACGAAACTGCGCGTTACATTGCCGTGTTGAAAGCTGCGTCCGTCGGAAAGCGGCGTCGCGACGCTAGTGAAGAGCGACGCTTCATCAGTCGGACAGGTGCGACGATTCGGCGCATCGTTTCCCAGCTCTGGCATCGATTCGTGGGACAGTCGAACCCCCCCTTAAGGGTGTTTCAAACGCACAATCTTTCCTGATGTGACACCTGCTTTCTTGTTTCAGTTTGCTCTGATGAACAGTGTTTCACCCTTAAAAACTGGTTTCGTGCACGCCCTGTATAGTGGCGATCGAAACGTCCAGGAAACGTTAACAAAATATTTTGATTCCGACACGTTGTTGCGCGGCCTTTCAAATGAAAACATTCGATTATGAATATGATTAAATCAAAAAAACGACTTGAAGCGATAATAATGAATTAATCGCATTAGGGCTCGGCGGCGAGCGCGCTCAGACGATTTTAATTGTGTTTGAATGAAGGAATTGGTATTTGACTTGCCATCAGGGGCGCTTTTCACTACTTTTCAATTAAATCTCATTGTTTCGCGATAATGGCCCATTTTCGTAGTGAGCCAAGTTTGGCTGGATTGTCGCCATCGGCATCGTTATCGGCAAATGCCAGATGCAGTCGCTTTAAATAAGCAGACATCTACCGAAGCAAATTTTAGTCTATTCTACGCCCCCTTCCACATTGATATCCTGCTGGAAAATAATGGCTAGTCTCTTGGGTCGCCCTGTATAACGTCGAGCAGTAAATGACACCATAAAGACTCCTAGTATGTGGATGTTCTTCTTATGAAATTTCGTTTAATATAATTTCAGCAGCATTTCTCGGCACGGCTCCCCCTTCAAGCAGTTCCCCGAAACGGCCCCCGAAGGATCGTAAGGAATATGAAAGTAATTGCCTATATTGGCAACTTCTAAGGGTAGTTTCCTTGAACCGGCTACACCCAGCTGAGTTGTTTCAGTGCGGGGGCAGAAAAAACCTCGCGTTCCATTAGATGGCTCATAAAAAGGAAACGGGCACAAAGGGCTTTTGTTTTCGGGCACAACAGCGAATGTTTTAATTCAACCCCCCATTATTTATCTTGGAGTTTTCTCTCTTGTTGCGCCAAATTCACTTGTTTTTGAAACTGGAATGTTTGTCCAATCGAATGCTGATGTGGCTGCGTTGGAGGCGGGATGATTCAAAAGTGGGTGCATTCGCTGGGGAGTAGAGGAGAACAATGACGGATCGATTGATTGATACATAAAAGGTTCTTGAGAAACTTCGAAAAATGATGATGAAAATTGATGTTGTGAAGTTGGGCACTTTCGTGCATAAAATGTACAACTGATGGAAATAGCTCGTCATCAGACCCCATGCTCGAAAGGGCATCATTTTCCTTCTGCAAGCGGCGTTCGGTCTAGTAAACTTGTTTAATCTCCCCAATGGGCTTCAAGTCAGCGATAGCTTCCGCAATCGTGCCGATGTCCTCAGTGATAAGCTAATTATGGCGCTGGATGCAGATCAAAGGGGGATAATTGCGGTTGGCGCAAGGCTATCGAGTCTGGAAGACACGCACAGCTACGGCTGCCGTTTCGGAGAACCCGTTTGCGATGCGAAGGAAGGTTGAGAAAATGATAGACTGAGTATTTTTATCAAGTATTTATTTAATAAACGTGAAGCTCTTTCAGCCACATACCGTTCACGAAACTAGGCCAGAATCACAAAAAGGCACATCAGCTAAATGCAACAGTATTTGGTTGAAACAAGTTCGGGTATTGCCTATATTTGGTAAGGAGACTTATCCAGATTACCACTCTAGTTACATTTTATGCTTGGTGTATGATTTCCGGTATATTGTTAAGGCTTAAGGCTTGGTTTCTTACACGTASGCAAAAGTGTTGGCGGGGATTTTCGAGGCACAGCCCCATTGGCTTGGGGGGCTCGAAACGTCCCCGCCACAAGTAACACACATATTGGCACAGCCATGGCAAAAAATGGCTGCCGCATAATACAAATAGTCAACAAAATAAATTTAAATGTTCTAACATTTGCTTAGATATTAAACTAGTAAAGGCGACATCGTCAAAAGAACAGATTTGAGAAACTATACAGAGTTATTTGACACTGCAGTTGGGAGGACAACTTTGATAGATCAGGCGCAGAGCGCGCACACCAATGGAATTACCTAAAGTTATACATATTTATATATAAACACACTATCCTAGGGAGAGTATTTTTCGCTTAGTACTGCATATTGTCATATAGTACGAAACAGCTTAAATTTTAATGAGTTTAGTACTAAATTTGGTCCAGAAATGTCACCGAAGATCGGGCCCAATTCATAAAAAATCACTATTCAATTAGGGTTTAAGATGATTGGTTAATTCCCCACGAGCGCCCCACCTAAACATTAATTTAAGTACACGAAAATGACTAGTGACAGTGAAATTAAATTACGATGCTTTCAAACCCAGCAAACTATAAAACTATAATTAACTCTGCAAACCGGGGATGGGATCGGTACGAGCCAGCAAAGTTCCCAAAAAAAAAACTACTAGCACACTTTGCAGAACACAGAAGCTGTTGGGGAAAAATATTTTGGCTCCCTCTGTAGATGCATACGAAATGCCATCGAAAAACTGTACAGGGAGTTACAAGTTCGAGGCATTAGCATTGGGATCGTGTTAGCGCCTAAGCCGTCAAGGAGTCGTGTTTAAGAAAATGAAGTTGATGATGGCGGACCGAAATCGAAACACTCAAATCGTGATTTAAGCGTATATTATAGAGAATGAAACGTTGTACCAATAATAATCGTTTGAGCAAAATGGCCTCAAAATGCGCAACTTTGTCTTAATTTAACCGATGTAACTTTTGCGATCTACAAGACCCCAATACTAACACCCTGTATAGGTCTGCAAAGGCTGCGATTACAGGGTGGCAAAATTTCATTTAGCTTTTGTTATTTGAATACTGCTCAACAGCATCAACGTTATACGGACAAATTTGGACTGTTCTGTTTGAAGCGTTATTTAGTGCAACTGTCTTTCGGTTAGGGCGTGGTTTTGCAAAAAATGAGTGCGTTAGATAAAGTTTGTACCGCGCGGCAAGTGAAACACATTTCAACACTGCAAACATTAAAATATACCTTTAGAAAACGGTTTCATTTTTCATCACGTTCATTTACAGAGTGATCGAAAAAAATACAACTTTTGGTCTTGCAGTGGTTACTTGATTCACTTGGCCCCATTTTCAAAATTTCCCGCTTATGTTGAAGCTGGAACTTTTCACTTAGTTGAAAATCTTCCAGAATGCCGGATTTTGGGGCCAATTTTGATTTGGATAATTTTTTGTAAATCGAATTTTCGTCTTAAATTGTAATTGATGGTGGAACTCAAAAAACCGAAAATTTCAAAAACCGTTTGAGCTGTTTGGTTTATCTTTAAATTTTTGTGTTGAGATCCAAAAAACACCTTTTTTGTTCAAAGAATCGTTTTTTTTTTGTATTGAAGTGCGTATGTTTTTTTTGGTCTTTTTCAAAGCTGTAAATGAACAAAAGAAATTACACACTTCAATACGAAAAAGACCGATTCTTTGATTTTATCCAGTGGGTACACACCCCATTCCTATTATTTTTTGTTCAGGGCGTTGCAAATGTGGCACAAACTTTTCGTTGCCACCCTGTAGAAAATTTGTCTGAGATGCTCAATTTCACAGGGCAAACTTGGCCTAGTAACGTTCATTTTGTTGAGCAGTTAATTTTCGAAGAAAATATGTTCAAAAACAACTTTACCCGCCCCATGTGTGATATCAACGCTTCCAGTCAGGTTTTTATGCCTAAATTGCATGCAAAATTCAATTGAAATACGTATTTCCCCAGAACCACCCCTTGTGTGGTGGCAATGCACAGGGTGTCCCAAATAAGTGGGCAATCTCCCGGATTCGGACCGAACAGAATGAAAAGTTCCCATAAAAAGTGTCGGCAATCTTGTCGTCTGTTCAACAGATGAAAAACGATTGGAAAAATTGTCTAGGAGACATCGCTTTCGCGTGTTGGCAAAGATGGCGTTGCACTATTGAATTTCCATGGGTAAAAGCTGATTCAAAATCGCATTTGCAGGTATTCCGGCCGGGACACTGTCTAGCAACGTTTGTCTGGTATGCCTAAACCCGCCAGTTTGACCCCTTATTCTGATTCACCCTTCCAAGAAGCGGCTGTTGGCTGTACCGAGTCAATCCCGCGTCAATTCCCCGTAAACCTAAAAAAAGCGCGCCCCCAAAGTTGTCCCATATACACGATACGACCTACGACGACTATATACACATTATCCATCTAAGTAGCGTTAATTATCTACAAACAAATCGTAATATACAATGCAAGGTATCGACAAATCATCATCCCGATTAGCTGGCGATCGATGTGACTCGGCCTCGATGGGTCTGTGACCGTCCTGGTCCCGCGCCATTCTCCCACAAACGGCAAATCGACAGTCAATTTTTTCTATACGTGGAATGTCAATGTAGTATCGAGGGGCCGAACTTCACATCACTGGAATATAAGCGTACGGAAAAATATGAGTGAATATTGTTCAAAATCAGTCACTACGTGGCGTAGTCCACTTTGTCCCAGGACAGCGTGAGGTCGGCGGGCGACCGGAACTCCTCGAGATTGAACGGGTCGAACGAGTCCGGGCCGATGCCCAGAAGCGAGTCGTAGCCCAGGCCGAGCTCGTGCGAGCCGCTATTCGATCCGCTGAACGCGCCATCGTTTGGCATGAGCGCCTCCAGCCATTCGTCCGTGTCCATTGGCACGATGCTGTTGTGCTCCTGGTCAGGCTGCACGTTGTTGTTGTCGCAAATCGGCGGGCAAACAGCCCCAAAGTCCATCAGCTGGTTGAAATCGACGTTGTCCAGCGAGTCCAGCAGCTCGTTCGGATCGATGCCGGACAGCGTCGAGTGGACGGGACTGGCCGTCATCGACCGCTGGCAGGCGTCGATCATCTGGACGTTATTGTCCAGATCAGTGCTGACGGCCTGCAAGTTGGGGTAGAGCGGCTCCTGGCCTTTGGGGCCCGCCGATCCAGGCGTGGACGGGTAGGAGGCCGCGCTGGGCGGCAGCTCCCCATTCTTAATCAGAATCTCCAGCACATCGTCCACTGTCTGGCTCTTGACGCTGCTCTTCTTCGCAGTGGCGTCGGTGTACAGTGGCGGCGGCTTGGGGCTCTGGCTGACGTCGCTGTACTCGATCTTGATCTCGGGCGGCTGCTTCACCTCCTCAATGTACTCGCGCTTCACATCAGCCAATACGAAACTTGGCCTGCTGTGTCCGTTGATCAACTTGGCGGGCTTGCACTGCATCAGCTGATAAACGAAGGCGGCCTCGGCCCCATTCAGAACCACCCCCACGTTCTTCTGGTCGCCATTAATCACCAGCCCGCCCAGGTTCTTCTGGTTCTGGAAGGCGACGTGCTGTTGCTGCTGCAGTCGCTGCTGCTCCTCGTTCACCTGCGCCTGCTTGGCCTCGGCCTGCAGCTGGCGCATCTGCAGCGCGATGTTCTGCTGCTGCTGTTGCGCAGCCTGCTGCTTGGCCTGCAGATGCTTCTGAAGCACCATCTGCGTGTTGGGCTCCGCGCGCGTGCTGTTCAGCGCCTGCAGCCGCAACTGGCTCAGTGTCAGCTCCCGCTGCAGCACCTCAATCTGGCGCTTTTGTTCGCGCACCAAGTCCTCGTTGGTTCGCTGCAGGCTGTCTTGGGACTGTTGCGAAGGGGCAGGGCTGACCGGGTCGCCCACTTCCATCAGATCCTGCTCCTGGGGCGACCCCAGATCCTGGCAGGTGGGGCTATTGTGCGATTGGTCCATGCTGCTGGTCACCGACGAGTCCACAGAGGCGGGGTTATCGCTGCTGGGCTGCGATTGGCTGGCGCACGACTTCAGCCGCTCGATCAGCTGCGGCTTGCAGCCGGATACCGGGAGGTTGCGCCGCTTCAGCTCCGCCTTCAAGTCGCTCACTTTCATGTCTTCCAGCTTGCCTGGCAGGTTAACCCTGCCAGGCATCGAGGTTTCTGAGCACGTAGACGGTGCTGGAGATGGTTGCTGAGCATTGGACGGCAGGCCATTCGCCGGCTCAATGGGGGGCGCTTTCTGGGAGGCCGGCAGGATTATCTGGGGGTATTTATGCTGCAGCTGCAACTGGAACTGCAGCAGCAACGTCTGCTGTTTGAGCAGCAAGTCGTAGCTGCTCTCGCCGCTGGCGCCTCCAGTGCTGCAGCTCTTCAGCGCGCTGGGCGGCCCCTTGTATTCGTGGAACTTGATGGTGCGGGCCTTGGGAGTCGACTTGGACTTGGATTTTTTCCGATTTTTTTCTTTGCCGGGCGCGTCGCACTTCACCCGCGTGAGAGGCAGCGGCGGTGGCGGGGGCACCGGGATGGGCGTGGGGGGCTGCGACGCGATGCACGGCACGGGGCTGGCCGCGGACGACAGCGGACTCAGCGTMGAAGTGGAGGCGGGGCTTGAAACGCTGCCCTGCGAGAGCAGCGGGCGGCACAAGTCCGCAAACACAATGTCGCTGCAGTCTTTCGATTGGCCAGGCGTGGCGGTGGCGAGCACAACAGTGCCCTCTGCCGGCTGGAAGGACACCACAATTCCGGCCGATTTGGCGGCGGTCTCCAGCACATCGCTCGGCCCCGGACTGACGGTGGCGTCCCCTTCCGAGCTGCCTTGCGAGTCCTCGTCGGGATTCACGTAGTTCTGCGGGTGCTGCGGCCGCTTCAGCGCCCCCTCGCTGGTCGCCTTGTAGGAGATTTTGCCAGTTTTCACCGCCTCCTCGATCGGCTCCTCCGTGTGCAGGATGTTCTTCTGGATGAGCTCGAGCGGGCCGGGACGGTGCGACAGCTGGTCGTTGAGCTGGTCGGCCAGTCGCGCCTTCTTCAGCATCCGCTGTCGCTCCGCGAGGCTGGGGTCGGCGTGCAGCGCCTCCGCTTCCAGGATGTGGCGGCGCTCCAGCTCGTGGCGCGGCGGCCGCTGCTGGATCTTCGCCTTGAGGATGTCACCCGTTTTCGCCCGCTCCGCTGACCGTCGCTGGCCGTGCGCTGGAACAGAACAAATCCCCTTTAAACTATGAAGTTGGGATGACACGAAATACTTGTCACAGCTATTTTGGAACAGATATCGATATGGAACAGTCGGTACCTGTGACCGATATTTAAAATAACATGTGATTTGGAATAACAGGGCTCGCCTACGATGCTGCTCAGGACCAGTCCAACATCTGGGATTTCGATATTTGAACAAGGCAAACACCTGCCTTTATGGCTTTCGATTCCCCGCGGCGTTGTCAATTGGCCTGAGTTTTAGGGAAAGGAGATATTTTATTCTCGTGAAGTGGTAAGGTTTTGTATGTATGGGAGTGGGACGTACACCCATGATTCGGCAGATAGCGATATTCAATGAACAGAAAATATCGGGAACAGCAGTAACAGCCGTCTCCGATATTTTCTTTAATGTGACAGGCCAGTGAGTCACATGCTGCGACTGACTGACTGTTTTTTCGGAATTCTGAGCTGTTCTTTGTCCTTGTAACTTGATCTTTTTCGACCAATAGCAGTGCTTCTGAAATAAAATAGCATTTGTTGCATCTGCCCAGTGGGGTAGTGGACGAACTACATTTAAATTTGCATAGGCGCTATTTACCTACTCTGGACAAGTTTCAATATGTGTTTATATCAAACATAGCTGAAGTATTAAATGGCCAATTTTCAATTAAGCGATAAGATGAATTGTAATCAGTGATTAGCATGAAAATAGAATATTTTTCACATTTTACTGCCCTTAAGTGGGAAAGATAAAAA